TTGGCCACCATCATGTCCGTCACCTGGTCCAGGGACTTGCCGGCCACATCAATGCCATTGACCTCCAGGATCTCGTCACTCACGGCCAGCAGCCCCGTGCTCTCGGCCAAGCCACCCTTCACCAGGCGGGAGATGAAGATCCCAGGCACCTTCTCAACGCCATGCGGGGCCACTCGCACGCTGACACCATCACGGATGTAGAAGCCCAGTGGCTTGTCAGAGCCGTGCTTGTGGAGCCGCACGCGGCGGTGGGTCTCAGGCAGGATGTCCACGTCGATGATGGAGGAGATCTGTCGGAAGTCCTGGGGCATGCCAATGAGGAGGTGGGTCTTGGTCCGATAGTGTGCAGGGCGCAGCAGGCCCTTCTTCTTTCGCTGCAAGGAGTTTGAGGCAAAGACACTGGCATCAGACTCTGCTGTAGGGAGCAAAAAGGACACAGGTCAGGCACCGCAGCTGCCCAGGGATGCAGCCACATGCCCCGTGTGTTGGGGAAGCCAGCAGGAGAAAGTCCCTGCTCATGGGTCTCACCGGCTTTTCCTTCCCAGAGCATCACCCTGTCTTTCCCCGCAGCCTGTTTCTGCTGGGCCCTTCTCCTGGGATTACCCAGCATACACAAGGCCAGGATTAGAAGGATCTAAGTGGTGGTTCAGGCTTAATCACACTTTAAGCCAAACTCTGCAGTTTAACACTAGAGCTGCCAGCCCTGATTGCCCAGGAGCCATGGCCATGCACCACTTTGTGGGGGGGGGGGGGGCCATCCCCCTCTTGGGGGGGGGGGGGGAGGCAAGCCCCCCACAGGAGGGGCTGCTGTGGTGGCAGCTCCCTGAGGTGAAATCCAGTCCCTGAGACAGCACCAGAGTTCCTTGTCCTCTCTTGAGCAGGGCCATCGTTGATATGCAATGGGGATGGCCACAGCTGCATCCTGCAGAGCCCTGCCATCCCCAAGGATGGTGATACTCCCACTTCTGGAGACCCATTCCATGGACCCCAGAACATCCAAACTGTGATTTGTGCCACTGCATCTTACTCCACCGTCTGGCACCATCACACAGGGTTCGACTCTAACCTCCTTCACCCTGCCCTAGGGCTGTTCCATGGGGCCCAGCTTCACCATGTCACCTCCTTGGCTGCACCCAGCAGGTGCTGGGGAGCATCCCCTGGGCCTTCTCTGGTTTCTCCCCATCCCTTTCCATTTGTGAGCTCAGATCTGGATGCTTCGTTGCTGGCATGTCCCCCATGATGCCCCTCACCAGCACGCAGACCCTGCTCCAGCCACAGGGAGGTGAGGATGCTCCCAAACGCAGGGGATGTGGGGTTTCTCCAGAGCCAAGCAGCCTGCCAGGGCTCCTGGGTTATAAATATCTCCCTGCACACGCAGCCTGGCATATTTTTAGCTCAGGGAAGGGTGGTGGAGGCTTTCCCTCAGCTATTCCAGCGCACAGCTCCTCTCTGTAGGGTGCAGAGCGGCTGGGCCAGGCAGGGCCAGCACCCCAGGGATGAGCCCTCTGGCAGCTCTGGTGGTGTGCTGGACTTTCCCCTGCCCCTCCCGTGAGCCCAGTCCAGCCAAGCAGGCCCAGCACCATGTCCCGAGCCAGGCTGCCCCTCAGGTACCCAGCAGAGTCACAGCATGGAGAGGAGCCAAGCTGCAGCCTTTGGTTTTTACCTCCCTGCAGCAGTCCTGGCTGCCCAGAGCCCACCGGCAGGCGCACACCTACATGTACATGCGTGTGCACACCTGTGAGAGAGGCTCCAGATTCCTCACTGACCCAGACTGGTTCAACGACAGCCAGCCTCGGGATGACCTGGATCCATTTTAAATCAGCTGTGACTCACAGGGGTTGCTCCTGGCCTCGCCACACACCTCCCCTGGTGCTGCCGGCCCCGTGGCCGCTGTCCCGCAGGCATGGCCAGTGCTGGGTCGTGCTGGTGCTGCCTCCTCACCCTCCTCATCACACTGTGCATGGTGCCAGGGCTGTGGCTGCCCCCTGGCCACATCATGTCACTTTGGCACTGTCACCCACAGGCTTTCCCAACAGCAGATGAGGTGGCTCTGGGAGCAGAAGCAACACTCCCACGGCAACCTGGCACACCCAGCCCCATGGTGGCTCCCCATGCCACAGCCTGGGTCCAGGAACTGGCCATGTTTCAGTGCCTGGATTGCTGCTGCCAGCCCCTGTAGTATGTGACCCCAGAAGAAACATGTGTCCAGGGCATTCCGCAACACCCTGTCACAAGAGCCCAGGAACACTGGCACAGCAGTTGGGTCCAGCCACCAGCATTACCCCTTACCCAGGGCCTTTGTAACACAGCTCACTAGCAGGAGCTGGAAACATGGAGTCGTCTGGACACCATGCTGGGAAAACAGCACCTTTCAGATCAGGCTCTGGCTCTGTGCACTGTTGCTTGATGTTATTACTCAAGAGAAAACCTCGGCGCTAGTAAACCAAGTGGAAGGGGACAGGCTCATGTCCCTAGTGAAGGGGAGATGCAGCTGGGGTGTTTGTCACTGGGAAGTTTTCACCCTGCCATCACAGTGATTTCAGGTTCCTGTGCAAGGAAGCTGCTCTATGGGAACACACCACTAAGGTCAGGGGGGAGATGAGCCTCCTCCCACCCCAAAACCTCAGCAGCAACCAGCACCCTGAGAACTCTGCGCAAGTGATAGCTGTCACTGCCTTGGGGCAGGGAGCAGGATGGGGCTCCTGGTGTGGTGCTCAAGGGGACCAACATGGTGTTTTCCGGGATCCCGGCAGGGAAATACGACTTCAAAGGGGTGAATGGCAAGGATTTACCTTTGCTTATTGGGTCACATGGGGCTGGGCTGGGGCAGGTGCCCCTTGGCATGGGGATGGGCTAGAGGAGAGCCCACATGGGTGCTACAGCCCACTGGGGCTCTGGAAGCCTCCCGGTGCCACCACCTCTTGGTGCCACAGTGGTGGCTGGAGGGTGTGTGATCAGCCACCCCTGCTGCAGCCCAAATGTGGAAGCAGCGATACTGTGGCTCACGTTTCTTGATGGGGAGGACAGATCTGTTGCCTGTCTCCCAGTCCTGCTTACCCTTCTTCTGGATGATGACCCTGAGCAGGGGGTTGGCAGAGGATAGGGCTTTGTGGTAGTTGTCGTCGTTGTTGATGGGCAGGAGGTCACCGTGGACATCCGTGTAGCCCAGGAGCACATCCACCCGTGGGATCTGGTGCACCGTCTGCAGCAGGTGGTAAAAGTCCTGGAAGCTGCCTGTGCCAGAGCGCTTCATGGCGAAGCGTCGAAATTCGGCGTCAAACTGCAGAGAGGAGGAGAAGGAAGAGGGTGAGACTGGGCAGGGCTGGCTCCAGCCAGCAGGACCTAAGCAGGCAGGGCACAACACAGAGTTGCCTCAGTGCAGGCAGAGTCAGGCAAGGGTGGCTCCAGAGCCCAAGCAGTACCGAGGTAGCACACCTGTCAGTCAGAGCCTGTCCCAAAAGCAAGTTAAAAGGAGTGGAGCCTTTTTCCTGACCAAACAGCCAAGTGACGGCATGGAGAGGTGGCCGGGTAGCAGAGGAAGGACCCTACAGCCGTGCCACCAGCCAGAGAGCTGCCAGGAGGCCCTTCCCTGTGACACGGGCACTGCTGCAGCACCTGGTGAGCAACAGCTTTAATTGTTGCCTCCCTCAGTCACGACGAAGGAGAAGCCAAGTAAGAAGAGGCTGAGGAGCTCCATGATGCTCCTACTTTCCAAAGCGGGTCCCAGCCCCACAGCTGGAGCACCCCAGGCACAACTGGACGAGGGTGCACAGGGGGATCCACACACCTGGGTGAGCACAGAGCTGGGTGGGTGGGCACAATTGGGCGAGGGAGAACATCTGGGTAAGAGCGTGCTAGGTGCACACACATCTGGATGCGCAGGCACATCTTCGGGGATCCACACCTGGGTGAGCATATGCACAGCGTGGGGGTCACCCTGTGCTGGGGGTGCACATCTGGGTGCTGGCACAGCGCTGGCAGCTGGGTGAGAGCCCATCTGCGTGAGGTGTACCCACAGCACTCCCGCTC